AACTCACCAACTTGCGCAACGTACGATGCACGTAACCGCTCACGGTCAGACTTTCCGTTCAGACCGACACTCTTACACTTTGTGCAACCGTGCGAGTGACGTGCGAGTGACGTGCGTAGACGCCACTCCTTCCCCACGTTTTCAGAAAAAACGTAGCAGACGTAGCCTCCCAAAAAACGTACGGAGAAAAAGCACGTACGGCGGGTTGTGACCGTCGCTTAAACGAGCGAGTTATGCACAAATTCTTGTTTTTGGAGAACAATATTGGTGAAAACGATATGCTTCACTTTGCACCCATACAGAATGGGTTCACAAGAAACAAGCATTTCTCTTTTTACATTGGTCAGAATATCAACCGTTTTCTAGACAGTACATTTATGTCGCGATTTATTATGGATATATAACATGCAACGAAGCTACTGCCGTCATCGTGGGGTACCTTGAAAATCGTACTTCTTGTTTACACCGTAATCAATACCAGCTCTCCATGTGAAAGCGACATGGCATGCGTGCGCGTGCAAACATGATATTTTAACTATTCCACAAAATCGTTCAAAATTACACCTCAACAAGAGCTAGATTACCTCAAGACTTCGTCATGTATATAAACCGACTTTTATTTTGCTTTATGTTAAACAAAGCATGTGATTGTGAGTGGCTCCATACAGTACGAGCATCTGGTCGCCTGAACTACCTATAGGAACTAGAACAGCGGTGCCGACAAAATTGGATCTTGATGGTGCCATCTAAAATAACCTTACAAACATCTGTCTCACACCCTCCCCCAGGGGGTTTGAACATCTGGGGTTTGAATATTTCCACTATCTGTAGTGCCTTCACCTGTGCATACATTCCTAGCTACATGTCAATCCTAACAGTGCCACTGCAATACCTTAGAAAGCCACTAGAATGCCCAAGTTCAAACTTAACCTTCTTTTTCCACATCATAATTTGAAATTACAAGGCATACTTCATTAGGTGGAGTTAGAAAAATTGCATGAAACACTTTTCTCCAACGAGATGCTTATTTGGATACTTCGTATTTAAAACCCATTTGTGGACTTCAAAGAGGATAGCGACATCTCACAGACTACGATTTATTCATCCTGCGAAAAAGTCTGGTGGAGACTACACTTTGAGATGCAAAGTGACGACGGCTACTTGAGGTTTGACTACTAGTACGCAGTACCATTGATGAGTTACACTAGATAACATCAGAAAACATGCATTAGCTTGTTATTACAAATTTAACAGGGAATAATCTAGCATATAACAAGGAGTCCTTTTAATATCTTGGGATACATTACAAATGGAGTGGTATTTGATAAATACAGTATTATTTTGCAATTGTTGATGTGTGTAATGTTTTATCTGAACGTTTTTAGCACTTTCAGTATGTAATTTTACATGTTAGAAATGATTGCGTATATTTTGGTAACTTATATCAAACACATAAACATCTATGCTATGTCATACTGCACATAACAGTGCCCTAACTAGACCATCTGATGCATGAATAAAACTCCTTTCATGAATCCTATAGCTTAAATTAATACCAAAGTGAATATGAAGCTTACTCAAAGCATAATGAAAAGACAATATTGGTGATGAAATAGTATTCAGCAATTCTTGGAATACACTCCTTCAACTCTTTGTTACATGATTAATAAAATCGTTTTGCCTCGAGTATTATATCCAACAAAGGTATGATGCAGTTCTGCCTTCTATGACAATAATGTACACCATTTTTTCAGACTACTAGTACCTTGTATGGTTTTCCAAGGCAGAGCGGATTATTTGCAGCCTTATTTACAATTTTGGACTGTGGCATCATCCACAGTCTCTTTAATACTGCCAGATGTTGCGTAGCAATGGTATTGCCATCATGGTGAATGTTAGTAATCTCCAATCGGATCATACGGTGGCAAGGCAGTATTCACTGGCAGGTGGAATGTCCCGTAGCCACGGAACACTGCTCTGGAAAATGAATACTGCCTTGCCACCGTATGATCTGCTTAGAGATTAGATGGTTAAATGAGTAAGTTACTAGTTGGCTTTGTTCTGAACGTAAATTAACGACGGTATTTGTTTTGTGTCATTATAATTCATCTGTTTTATCGCTTGAGTTTGTATGTATGTATTTATTTTTAATGTATCCGGGGACATCTGAAAAACAGACCACGGACCTGAGTGTGATTCACTGGTAAAATAAGATAAATGAAATGACATTTTGTATCTACAATCACACAGACCAGCCTCTTCAATGTTCAAAAATACGCGGACATAATGTAGGGGTTTGCTCAGCAAGAGGCTTGAACTCTGGAGAAAAGCACAGCTTGTTTCTGAAAGGCAATTACTAGTACTTTAGCCACGTCATGTGGAGATGATAAGCAGGGTGGGAAGTTATAAAGACATGCTGTTAGGTTCATCAGAAACTGGTCTCATCTTCAGCGCAGGCCGAACGCCTGTCTTCAGCTTGATTTTCTTCAGCATCGACGAAGGTTTCCATGGGTATCTCAGTAGCAACGTCAGTGCCGCTTGCTGTAGCCCCAACTCCACCTGCGAGGGTCTGCAAGTTGCCTGCAGTGCCAGTTTCATCTGCCTCAGTTTCCCCTGCGGTGGTAGGCTGGTTGCTGGCAGTTGCGTTCCGCCCCTTGTCCTGACGAGACTTGCCCACACGATGGCGTGCCCTGTTCTCCTCTACATCGGCCATAATTGTCATCTCTATAGCAGTGCCGGTTCCACCTGCTGTTGTCACCTCAGTTCTCCCGGTCCGCCGGTTGCTGGTAGTGGTGTCTTGTCCATTGTCCTCATCAGTTTCGATCAGACCCAGGCGCACCATGATCGCATACTTCCATTTCTCCAACGCCTCCCCCGTCATTGTCAGAAACAGGGTCATCAGCAGGCCTTGAGAGGCATTCAGCACAATAAAGATATAGTCGAGAACTGCGACATTGACGAAAGGAACAATGAATCCCAAAATCCAGGTGAACCCCGACAGAAACGAGATACGCATGTAGACCCAGATCTTGCTGATTTCCGAGCGTGGCAAAGCAGTGCTGGCTATCTGAAATGACTTCCGTATGTCCAACAACACAAGAGTGATGAAGACAAGATTGACCATAAGGGCGCAGAGGACAGGAGCTCCAAATGCCACCAGGCTGGCTGTTGGATTGCCGATCCAACACTGCTCTCCATACCCCACCCTGACAGAACTTCCGAACTCCACAATCACTGTGACAAGGACTATAGGTACCGGCACCAGCCAAGTGTACAAGATGTACTTGTACAGTTCGGCTCTTTCTGAATCCTCACGAAATGTAAGGAAGATATCTACAGCTAGCACGTTCATGGATGTGAAGGCCGTCAGAATAAAGTAGTGCAGAAGTATTGCATAAGCTGTACAGCCTGGTCCGGGAGAGAGGAACACACGTCCCACAAACTGGGTTACGGCAACTGCCATGCATGTCATCATCTGTACCTTCAGTTTTTCAGGGATTTTTTTCCACTGGCCTGACCTGTAAGTGTGAACCACAAAACCAGACACGGCAACGTCAGACACTATCACAAGACCCAGGGTTAACCAGTGCTGGACAGGGTCCGAGGTTTGGAGCGTGTCGTTGGAAAAATACTCCAGTAGGCAGTCCCCACAGACTGACGCTTCTGTGTTCAGAATGGCCACCTGCTCAGCTGGGCACGTCATGTTAGAACTCAACAGGCGGACACTGCCATTGGGAAGGATTTCGAACTCTTCGGATGTGAAATTCAGAATGGGTCTGCTGCAGTTTTGGAGATGGGAAGTTTTGTTCGAAGAGTTGTGACTAAGGGACGGGAAAACTCGACACGAGTCTACAAATGGGTCGTATAAAGAGTCTGGGGGGCAATGCTCAGGGCTGTTTTCGGGACTCTCATCAGCGTTAAAGTTGAACAGAGAAGGTAATGAGATAGGGTTAAATGGAAATTCACCTCCTTTCAGATTAGAAAAGTTACAACTTAAATGTGTGGCTGCCGCAAGGGAAAGTCCTTCACAAAAGCACAGTGAACGTTTTATAGAGCTTGACACCGCCAAAGTTACTCTCCCGTCGTAGGACCTGCAAGCAGTCACATTACAATTTACATTCGAAATATTGACGACAGGGACAATGCATTGTCTCACATTCGACCCAGTAGGAATGAACTCCACCTTTAGAGTTCCGGTACAATCTCCATTCCATCTGGGAATGCTCAGTTTATAATGGTCGTATAATATTTGTGGAATTCCAATGGGGTTTGTAGGTGAAGCTGTGTACCCAGTACACACAGGTGTGAATACCCATGTACTGAATTCTTCCGTACTTACATTGTTACAAAGAGCACAGAATATGTTTCTATAGGAGATACTTGTTGAACTATCTTGCACGGGCATCCGATAGACCAGGTCAGCTGGGTTGTAGGGATCAGTTTGTTTTAAACACTGATCTCGTGTGACGTCGTCCATCCAGTCGTCAGGGCAGTCAGCCACCAGCCAATAAGATCTTCCCTTGTCATATCCCGACAGGCACTTCCACTTCTCATGGTCACGATCAGATGGTTTTTGAGCTGTTGTGTTTAAGCTGCACACCTCTCTGTTTTATGGAGGCAAACAATCATCAGGTCACTTCTGGGTAAATATCGAAAATTCTTCTTGCCTGATTTGATCTCACCCCCCCCCACACACACGCTTTTGGTAATATTACCTAATTTAGGACCTTATGGAGGACTGCATTAGTTCACGTATGGGCACGTATAACTTTTCTTGCAACAATGTACAAATATGATACCACTAGAAATCTACTGTCCCCACTGATTCCAATATGTATACAGTCCACGTACCCTATGTCGCTACAGCAGTCACCGAAAAAGATGCAGTCCTGGTCACACTGACACGAGTAAAATTGTTTGTAGCTCTTTCCGCAACTTCCTTTACAGGAAATTCGCGAGCCGTTACACGATCTGGGAACATAGTCCCACGACGTGGGGTCTACATAGATGAAAAACAGGAAATAGTGAATCAATACTAGTGTTGATTGATAAAGGGTTTGCATCAATTCTAAAACTTTCAAACTGATGTTTAACAATCTTCCTCAATAATGTCCATGATACATAAACATAAATAATTCTTATTTGTTGTTGGCCTTTGTCCTATCCAATTGCACTATTAAAACTGTTATTGCGTATATATGATGTTATTGCCATGACTCACCATGCATTGGCGACTCGATAGATAACGGTTACCCATTTACAACTTATCAGTTGGATATAACAATAGACTTCTTCGGGCTTTCTTACCGGGACATTCCGTCACGTCGCAGTAGCCCCACGTCTCCGTCCCGTCCGTGGTGTAGCACCAGGGCCGGTCCTTGTTGTCAGGGTTACGGCAGAAGTTTTCCTCCAGCCCCGCATCAGGATGAGCATGTGGTGTGTGGGGATGGCTGTGGGGGGACTGGGAGTCCCATCTCTGACACAGCCGATCTCCTGCCCTGTGGAATGGGTTACTATAAATAATGTATCTTATCATGCTAAATATAGATTAATGTAATTAGTTAATGTTTTTCTCAATTTTGTCAAGTTGTTTTTAAAGCTAAAGTTAACGTTATTACAGCCTTTTCTAAATAAGGTCAGTGTTATAATATGTATATGCTCCGAGATGCTGCTATAATGATGACCGCACTAGACCACAGCTTGGGCAAGACTGATCTCTCAGGGACGTCCTGACACGAGGTCCTTGTCCTTTATTGATACCAGATGTGACAAGTCCTATCCCCTACACTTTAGTACATATTTCCTGTTTGCGTTGCAAAACCGTACAAAGAGGGTCCTTTTAACATAACGCAGCTTGGGGTGCAATGATTTGCACAACTGATTCGCCTTACTATCGAAAAAATGCCACGAAAGCTCAAGCGCTAATCTTACCTATTTATGTGCCCTGTGTAGGTCCTTCCCTTGTCGTTAGTGAAGAAGCAACTTGTTGGTAACTCTGAAAAGGGAAACAGGGCATGTATGTGGTCAATGACATTAGCATGTCCCCTCCCTCCACACACACACACACCTCACCGTGCCCACAACTGCAGGTTGAACATCTGAAGATATAGATTATGTAAATGAAGACCTAACTTGGGTAATTAATGTGAAAACGGTTTGATTTCATAGTAGTAGCTGCTGGGAATTTTATACTTGCTGCATTTGGAAGTTCAGTAAAGGGGAACAGTAATAAACATAATCTAATCAAATCTGGTCATGACCTTATTTGCATAATTCATGAGGAAGTGCTAGAATAGTCTTTTTTGTTAAGGTTAGGCTGTCAGTTGAGAATATGATCAACTGATATAATTCATGCAAATAAGGCTCTTATTTTGCGAAATTAATGAGTATATCATACTATATGTATAAACTGTCCACCGGATTGGTTACTTTGGCGAAGGAATGAGATCGTGGAACTGTTATTGTTTGATGTGCAAATCAATAAAATAAATCAATAAAATCAATCGGTCCATACGGGATACACCGTGTAGTATTCTCTATGATCTTACCGTCACAGGCGAAGACATCGTCGCAGTACATCCACCTGATTGTTGCGTTGTTGGTGTAGCACCACGGCCTGTCCTTCCCGTCTGGGTTCCGGCAGTATTTCCGCTCCAGCCCTGCTGACGGGTAGGCCTCGGGAGTGTGGTTATGGGCGTGGGGGTACTGAGATGTCCAGTACTGACAAAAGTGTTGTTGGTTTCCACGGCCCCTGTAGCTTGCCCCTTTGTCGTGTAGGTAGGAACAGTCTGTGGACATAAAGCTTTACATTGTACCATAGTGTCCAATTCCAATGTACCTTCCTATAATGATTTCGTGCTATGCACACTTTGATGGGGTTGTCAGTAATAACTGAGTGAAAACTCACCACAGTTCTTCTCATCACTGTTGTCTCCACAGTCATCTCTGCCGTCACATCGACCAAACGGGTGGAACAAGGCACCATTGGTCACGAGGCAGAAAGGGCTGCGGGTCATAAAATCAGTTATAAAATAGTCTACCCAACTGCAGGTTATTGTGTGCCATTGGGGGTACACATGATACACATGACGCGCGCACTGCATGAAAAGTTGGATTTACCAATGGTAGTAAATACCAGTATAGTCTGGTAATGTTTACCTTACAATGGTTGTAGATAAAAGTTCGGCACTGTCGGACTTGAAATTACCGGATTTTGACTTTTATTTACTATCATTGTCCGGCACTGTATACAAGTAAACGACT